CGCCTCCAGGTAGAGAGGACAGCCTGTGTCAGGGCCCAGTACTGAGCCCCTTGGCCTGTGGGAGGCCCACCTGCGAGAACCCAGTGGGCCACACAGAGAGGGGATAGAAGGGAGACTGTGAGATTGCAGAGAGGCATCTCAGCCACGCTGCGGAATTGTCATTGCATGTGGAGTGTAAATGGCGTGGTGCAGGCAGTGGGAAGAACAGCTGGAAGAGTTAAAGAGGCATTGTGGGGAGAGCCAGCCCAAAGGTCAGAGCGACGGCAGAGGATCTAGATCAGGGAGTGGTGGCATAAGGCAGGGGTCCCGTGGGCTCCCATCAAGGCATCAGGCTGACCAGAGACAAGGGTCTGTGAGTGTAGGTGGTGAGTCTAGAGAGGAAGGATGAGAGAGGTGAGATGGAAAGCTAGGGGAGCGCCTGCCACCACTGCAGCGGAGGAAGAGAGAGCCAAACTGAGGGTGACCAAGTGACCAAGTGCACGTGCCTCCTGCTGAAGGTGTGCGCACCGAGGACAACAGCCAGGGGAGGGAGAAGATCAGTGAAGGAGCCAGGCATGGGGAAGCCTCAGAGAACAGAGGGGACTTTGTTACATTTGGGTCCTATCAGATCTCAGCCTTCATCCTTCCAGCCTTAAGGGTTCCAGACTTCTTAGTTAACCTTCTACAGAAGTCCCCCGTCCCACTGACTGATTTCATCCAACAAGTAAATATTGGGTGCCTATAATATACCAGGACTGTGCTAAGCACCCTGGAGAGCTAATAATTACATAAACATTCATTAAGTCAATTGCTCTCTTATGTGTGTACTCACGGTGGGGCAGGGGCTCAAATACTTTCAAGTGATGATTAAATTGGGCCTTTTTCTGGCTCTTCCTTTTTTTCTTAATATCTGTTTTTGTTTTTTTAATCACAGGAGGCAAGCTCTGTATTTAAACCTCAGCTCTGCCATTAGCTAGTAGTATTTGGGGCAAAGCACTTAGGGAGAGTGAAATTCACCTCCCCAGGTGATTTGTGCCTGTCTAATGAAATATGGTGTGTAAACAGTGCCTGCTGCTAACAAGTGCTCGGAGCTGGCCCTCCCCTGCCACACGGGGCCAGACCTTTGTGAAGGTCTTCCCCGTTGCCTGGTCCCTGGTCCATTGACTTATGCCACTTATACCAGGAAAAAGAAGCTTTTGGTGCATGCTTCTAGTGGGCAGTTGCCTTTTATCACAGAAGATGTTGCCTGGTCCCTGGTCCATTGACTTATGCCACTTATACCAGGAAAAAGAAGCTTTTGGTGCAGGCTTCTAGTGGGCAGTTGCCTTTTATCACAGAAGATGTGGGGGGGATAAACAGTCACCCAACTCTGAGTCTTCATTCCCAGTTCAGCCCCATACTCTGTCATCTTGGGCGAGCTACTTCAGCCCTCAGATTTATTTCCTTTGTGTAAAATGGTAAGCATTCTGTTCCCTCAGGGAGCATCTTGTGATATCAGTGCCTGGTGCACAGCAGGTGTTAAATAAATAGTGTCCTCCCTCCCCAGTTGCTCCCTGCACTTGTCCCTGTGGCTACTATAACAGGTGCCACAAACTTAGTGGTTTAAAACAACATAAATTTATTATCTTACAGTTGCAGAGTCCACAGCTCCACAAGGGGTCTCACTGGGCTCAACTCAAGGTGTCAGCAGGGCTATGTTCCTTCTGAAGGCTCTAGGGGAGGATCCATTTTCAGTCTTTTCTAGATCCTAGATCCTGCCTGCATTCCTTGGCTCATGCCCCCTTCCATCTCCAAAGCCAGCAATCACTTCACTCCGACCTTCGTGTTTGTCTTCTCCTTTTCTAACTCTGGCCCTCCTTCCTCCGTCTTTACCTTATAAGGAATCTCCTCTCTCAGAATGCTTAATTGGATCACATCTGTGAAGCTTCTGTTGCCATGGAAGGTGATGTATACACAGATTCTGGGGATTAGGACGTGGCCATTTTGGGGGATCGTTATTCTGCCTACCACTCCCTTTAACTTTTTCCTGATGTGCAAACCTGTACTCATCGTCCTTGGTCCTGAAATCAACCCTGTCCTCCAATTTCTTTACCACCATGATGCCAGCCTCACTGGGTCATCCAAACCTGTAGCTGATGATTCATAAATTCCAAGACCAATAAGCCAGAATGAACCTAAAGAGCAGTTGTTTACAACCCCCCATCACAGGTGGGGAGGAAGCAGCTGGCTGCAGAAGACAATTGTCCATGTGAGGTTGCACTGGCTGCCTTAGCCTGAGGACCAGGACGTAAATCTCCTAGTAGTCAAGCCAGGGCTCTCTCCACTACATTATGCAGATTCACACATCTTATCAAGTGGCATTGATTATTATTTGCAATATTTGATATCCCCTCCTTCTTTTCAATTTCTTTTTTTTTTTTTTTCCTTTTTGTCTTTTTTCGTGTCCGGCAACGGATCGCAACCCTCAGTGTCGCGCCCGCACCTCACTCAGCCAGTGAGCGGGAACCAGTCCGTATGTGGGATCCGAACCCTCGGCGGGAGCGCCACTGCACTCCCAAGCGGCACACTGTAGCAGTGCGCCACCGGGCCGGCCCTTCTTTTCAATTTCTTAATAACAGGAACACTGGGCTTAGAGGTGCATTGGTGAGGGTTCTACAGAGAAACAGTACCAATAAGATACATATAAATGAGGAAATTTATTCTAGGAATTGCTCATGTGGTTGTGGAGGCTGTGAAGTCCCACTACCTGTCTCTACAAGCTGGAGAACCAGAAAAGTTGGTCATATAATCCAATCTGAGTCCTGAGAGCTGGAGGACTGATGGTGTAAGTCCTAGTCTAAGTCTGAAGTCTCGAAAACCAGGAGTGCCAATGTCCAAGGGCAGGGGAAGATGGACATCTCAGCTCAAATGGAAGAAAATTTGCCCTTCCTCTGCCTTTTTATTTTCTTCAGGCTTTCAACAGATTGGATAATGCCCACCCACATGGCATTGGTGAGAGGAATCTTTACTCAGTCTAGCAATTCATATGCTAATTTCTTCCAGAAACACCAAGAAATAATGTCCTACTAGCTACCTGGGCATACCTTAGTCCAGTCAAGTTGACACATAAAATTAACCATCATAGAGATTAAGAAAAAAGTATGTTTGAGTTCCAATGACACCACTTACCAGTTATATGACCTTAGACTAATCCATATTGAGTCTCAATTTTCAGGTAAAATTATATTAATATCTGCCCTACTTCCTACAGGGCATGGTGAGAACCTCTCTCATAGGCCTATTGGGTGCTTCCTAAATCACAAAGAGTTGTAGAAATATGAGTGTGGAAGTTGGAGCAAAAATGGACAAGTGGTACTCTGGGCTAATTAACTAGTGTTTCTATAAACCGTGTGTGTGTGTGTGTGTGTGTGTGTGTGTGTGTGTGTATTTCAATGTTTATTTAATGGAGACAGGGAGAAACTAGCTTTCTTTTCATAAAATTTATATTCAAAAACATTACATTTTCCTAGCCCAGACAGAATCAATTCTCTTTAATTTTTAAAATTGGCAAAATAGTTTCCTCTTTTATATAGTTCTTTTTCTCTCACCAGTCCTATGTTATGGTTTTCTACACTAAAGCATTTTGGGAGCATATTTAAGGGTTTAAAATTTAGGTAATAAATAAGCCACTCCTTCCAAATAATCAGGTACTACACAATGCATCATTTGGTTTTAAAGTTTCAGCAGAATGTCAACTTTCAGTTCATTATAACCACACACAATCTTTGGGAAGAAATCCCAGCAAACTAGATCTGCCCGACTAGGCTTTGTTTTACTACTCCAAAGCACTGTCTACTTGGGCATTTATAGTAGACAGACTACCAAGATGACCCCCAGGGATTCACGTCCTGGTGCCCACTTCCTTGTGGAATTTCCTCTCCTTGAGTATGGGTAGGACTAGTTACTTGATTTTAACCCATAGAATATGGCAAAGGTAATGGGACGTCACTTTCATGGACTACATTACATTGCATGAGACAATATCTTAGCAGACTGGGGCTGGAGGCTCTCCCTGTAGGCTTGGTGAAATAAAGAGCCATGCTGGAGAAGCCCATGTGGTAAGGAAAACTGCAAACAGCCCCTTGGACTGGGGAGCAGCCTCCGGCCAGCAGCCAGAAAAAAGGTGGCCTTTGCCAATGCCTGGATGAGCTTGGAAGTGGATCCTTTTCAGTCAAGCCTTCAAGTGAGAACACAAGCCTGGCCAGCACCTTTGTGGGAGCCATGCAAGACGCTGAGCAGAGGACCCCACCAAGCTGTGCCTGAACTCCTACCCCACGGGAACTGTGAGATAATATGTGTGCACTGTTTTAAGCGGCTTAATTTTTAGTAATTTGTCACAGAACAATTGGAAACTAATATAGCATATAAATAGAATCAATTCACATTTTGCTGGTTATTTGGAGTCATATGAAAACTGAACTAATTGGCACCATATGTCTAATTGATTCACATATTTTCTTGTCTTTGTAGACTGAGTCCCCCACCCCTCTTTCCCATAGTTGTCCTACTGTCCTGCCCCTTCATCCAGCTCCTGGTTCAACCTTGGGTGAACACGGAGACAGAGGGACAAATGAGGGGGCTACTGTTGGGGTTCAGATGAGCCCCTCAGGGCCTGTGCCACAGCAGTGGCATCTGGGAGGTAGAAGAGGCGACAGACGTGAGAAACAGCTCAGAGACTTATCTCATATTCTGACAGAACTGTCACCATGTGCGTCCACAGTACGGTACATCACAACTGATGCTCCCAATGATGATCCTCAGGCAGGACTGGCAGGCACCCAGGGAACACGGAGTAAAACACGGGAGCTCTGACAACATTTTCAACATTACCATGTGTTTTAATTTATACATATACTCGTGTGTGTTATGTAGATTCTTTGTATAGGTGGCGCAGTACAAAATTTAAAAATATAAATAACATTAACTTCAACCTAAAGTACTTCATTCTTCGTCTCTTCTAGAAATGTCACCCACCAGAGACAGGTGGTGCTGTTTGAAGAAGTGGAACATCGGTTAAGCCCAAACTCTGCTCCCCAGAACATCGTGCTCCCCAAGGCTGAGCGTGGTCTTTTCTCCCATCTCCTGCAGCATGGGTACAATGAGGGAAAGGAAAGGGAAAGGAGCAAAACCAACTGGGATGAGAGCACAGAAGAGGAAAACTACTGAGAAACTCCTTTTTACAATGCTGAGAAAGGAAGAGAGCTCTGCAGTGAAGAGAGGTGACCTGGCAGAAGGAGCGCACAGAAGAGAAGTGCAGTGCCACACGTGACATGGACGCCGTGGGGCAGGTGCAGGGAGGCTGTGCAAGCCTGCACTGGCACATGGGGCCCAGGCATGAGCTCTTCTCATTGTGCAGGAGAAGCACAAAACAAAACTTTCATGTCAAGGGTCTACACTGGTGGCCAAAGAGCTGACTTGAGCAGGCAGATCACATGGGGCCCAGGCATGAGCTCTTCTCATTGTGCAGGAGAAGCACAAAACAAAACTTTCACGTCAAGGGTCTACACTGGTGGCCAAAGAGCTGACTTGAGCAGGCAGATGTGTTTTGTTTGGCCAGTACAATGTGTGTGTGTGCACGCCTGGGTGCGTGTGCGCACGTGTGTGAACCTGCATGTGTACATGCATGTGTGTTGTGGTTTGTGTCTGATGGCATAAGTGAATAAACTTGGTTCTGGTTTATCATTCTTCTGTAGCTTCTCTGCATAACAATTAGTAACATGATGATATTCCTGACTAGATCAAACCAGTTCTTTTCAAAATGACAGTGCCACCTCCAGTTTCCTGTGCTTTCTCTTTGCTGACGCTCTGTTTACCTTTGTCCCCAGAACTACACACTAGGCTGATAGTTCTAATGATTTTTCAAGAATAATCCCTAAATCCTTTTCTTGATCTGTGTGCTAGAGGATTACTTTCTGCCCAGACACATCACTGGACTGGCCTCCTTGCTCCCCAATTAATTATTAGTTTGTCTACATTAAATTACACTTGCCATCTGCTGATAAAATCACAAAGTCTCAAAGCCTTTTTTTCCCCAGTGCTTTCACTGTTTATTGTTGGTTTGTTCTGCCTCCTATCCGCTGAATCAGCTGCACACTGGGGGATTTGGTTTCCAATTCCTTCTCCCAAGTCTCTTCTCTATAGTAGAATTTTATGAAGATTTCCTAGAGGAAAAAATATATATATGTGTGTGTATACACACACACACACACACACACACACACACACGCGGTTTCAAACACTTAAGAATCAGTACAACCCAGCTTCTTAGAAAGAATAAGTGAAAGAACTGAGAAATGGATTTGATGATTTTGAACAGTCTCACAATGGGTCATAAAATAATGACTTCTAAGAGAGAGACATAAAAAAGAAAGAATAATAGGTAGAAATGAAAACTGATCCCCCAGGTTATAATATAGCAAAATCAACAAAAACCAGAAGAGTGGGGGTAGCAAGTTTGAAGCATAGAGCGTAAACTTAGGTGTGAAAGAAAGAAGGCATTGTTCTATTTTCCCTTAAATAATCAAATTTCTATTCTAAGCCCCAATGCTACAAGACTGGCAAGATTTCAGCCTCAGTCATCCTGGGGGGTCCACCCTGAGATGTGATAAGGTTCCGAGGTCTCGTGTAGGAGCAATGCCTTTATATTAGTCTGCTAGGACTGCTGTTAACAAGATGACAGAGACTGGGTGTCTTACACAACAGAAGTGCATTTCCTCACAATTCTGGAGGCTGGAAGTCCAAGATCAAGGACTGGAGGGGCTGGTTTCTTCTGAAGCCTCTCTCCTTTGCTTGTAGATCCTGTCTTCTCCCTGTGCGCTCACGTGGTCATCCCTCTGTTCCGGTCTGTGCCCCGATCTCCTGTTCTTATAAAGACATCACTCTTATTGGATTAGGGCCCACATTAATAACTGCATTTTAACTTAATCACCTCTTCAAAGACCTTGTGTCCAAATACAAGTACAGTCACATTCTGAGGTACTTGGGATTAGGACTTCAACACATGATTTTGGGGGGGACACAACTCAGCCCATTACAGCCTGGAACAGGATGGCTCTTTCTGGCCATCACCCAGCAGTCCACTCAGGGATAAGAGCCTTATCTCTGGCCTTGGGGTGCCAGGCTCTTTTAGGTTCACTGCTTTCTGCTCCTTCCAGGCAGTAGTGGGGTATTAGGATACACCACAAGCCTAGAAGCCCCCACCCTGCACCCCAGGATAACGACAGAGAGGCCTCTGCCATCCCATCACCTCAGTCTTTGCTTCTGTCATCCAAATGGAAAATTTGTCTTCTGGGGTTTGGGAAGACCCTCTCTAACTCAAACCCTACAGTCTCCTTAATGAATTAGTCTCTTCAAAACAAAGGCCCAGAGGCTTGGTAGACTTTACCTACTTCCTGCCTGTAGCAAGTTTTCCTGGGGCCATGAAGCAACTGCTTGAATGGAAAGAAACAGAGAAATGTAGAAAAATTTAGAGCCCTAAACTTCTGCTCATTTACATACGATTCATACGCACACCATGAGTGTTTGTACTCTTTCTACTCCCAGTGTTCTAAGAGTTCTGTTTGGTATTTTGTAATTGTATGGTTTTTCTTTTTGATCAAGAATGACAGGGTCTTGTAGAAATGGAATATATTATCAACAAATACCACAACAAGTATTCATTTAGTGTCTACATTAAACTTTACACCAAGGACACACAATATAGAATATTTCTTTTTCTTGGGATGTAAAACACAAAAGTGAAAAAAAAAACTACATAAGATCATTACTGTATCTGAGGGCTCCTCTTCCAAAAAATACTTTTTTAAAAAAATATTATTTTATCTTTTTTTTAGGGCTGGCCAGTTAGCTCACTTGGTTAGAGCATGGTGCTGATAACATCAAGGTCAAGGGTTTGGATCCCCTTATCCACCAGCCATCAAAACAAACAAACAAAAACAAAAAACTTTTTCATCTGATTTAAAAGAAGGGATACATGTTTTTGATCAAAAACTAGGGGCCGGCGCGGTGGCGCACTGCTACAGTGCGTCCCTTGGGAGCGCAGCAGCGCTCCTGCCGAGGGTTCGGATCCCACGTATAGACCGGCCACTCACTGGCTGAGCGAGGTGCGGGCGCAACACCGAGGGTTGCGATCCCGTTGCCGGTCACGAAAAAAGACCAAAAAAAAAAAAAAAAAAAGGAAAAACTTGAACAACATTAAGTGAAAGTCATCAGTATCCCTACTACCCAGAGACCAGAGATGGCCCATTCAGTTTTATTTAAGTTTTAAATCCCTATTATACCTTTAGATAGTCTTTATAACTAACTAGTTGCTGCTCCTTTGTTTATCCATCAATTATGTATTAGATGTGCACTATGTGTAAGGAAACTCTTACAGAATTCTGCAGAATTCCTTACAATTGAGTTGGCGAATGTCCTCCGGGCCTCAGCTCAGGTGGTTTCAGCAGGCCCCAGGTAATGGTGACTACACAAATACTTGAGCTCCTGAACCACCAGGATAATAGCAGCAGGTCTAGAACAACCTTCCCTCCCTGCAAGGAGGCAAGTGATCCCCTGAGGCTCAGGAGTCATTTCCATGAAGCGTCATGTCCAGTCATTAAAAACTATGTTCCGGTGGACAGTAAGAGCAAGGATTCTGGAGCCAGGCTGTCTGGGTTTGAATCCTGATTCTACCCCCATACTACCGGCGTGACCCCTGACAAGTGGCTTCGCCTCTCTGTGCCACAGTTTCTTCAACTATAAAATGGGGATGATAATAACTACCTTGATGTAGGTTGTTGTAAGAATTAAATGAGTTGATACGTGTAAAGTCTTAGGACAGTGCATGGCACATAGTGAGCCTACAAGAAGTATTAGCCATCATTTCACCTCATTTCTGAAGTACTGTGCCACATGTGTTCTGAAACACACACACACACACTTTATTTTCACCCAAAATGATTTTACTCTCAATGGCATGGGCCAATTAGTTGGAGAGAAGGAGCCATGGTGTATTAGTCAGGGTTCTCCAGAGAGACAGAATCGATAGAGTATGTTATAAATATACGAGAGGGGATTTATTAGGGGAATTAGCTCACATGACTATGAAGAAAAGTCCTACAATAGGTCATCTACAAACCTGACGCCAATAGTGCAGCTCAGTCCAAGTCCAAAGGCCTCAGAACCAGGGAAGCTGATAGTGTCCTTGGTGTAAGTCCTGGAACCCAAAAGCTGAAGAGTCTTGAGCTCTGATGTCCACA